TTTGCAGATTACTTTTTCTGCACTCCACCTGTTTGATCTGTGCGCGCTCCGGTGGGGTGACAATCATCCCGTTTATTATGCTTTACTTTTTTTTGGAAAGACAGTCTGACTGTCACCCTTTCCCACAGCYCTTCCCTGCTGTACAAGGAGACAGGATTGCGRTATGACCGCAGGAGAAACGAGGTCCAGACTCAGRYAGCTTTTGTGCGTCGCACTGGAGCACTGACTTCACCTGCACTGACAGTTGCCTCGCTGCGTCACCATGTGCCGCGGCGTGCGCTCCTCCCGCTGCAGGCGCGCCGTCACGTAAACATATAAACAGTTCAACGTTCATTTTCGCACACCCGAACCAGGTCCAGATAAGTTATTTTTTTTCCCTCTTCACTTGCGCTCTCAGCCAGGCTGCTTCCCTCTTCCTCTGTTTTGACTCCAGCCYGTTACATCATCAAAAAGAATTYCGCGGTTGGCCGGTAGACTACAGATCTCTATCATAGGACAAATTTATATCGTTTATATCGCTCATTCCTATACGGTACCAGACAGAGAACAAACTCGAGTGTTGCTCATATGCTTTCACTCTTGAGGAAGTTTGTTATATCACTAGGCAGGTGTTGGTCTGAAATTGCCTTCTTTGTATCCGTATGTTGCTGTTGAGTCCAGTCTCTCTCATCTCAGCTAACATAAGTCAAGAGCAAAAACACATGTTGTACACGAGTGAACATTTCATACAAGTGATCCACTTGCAGGCTGAATTGTCCACACCTGAGCACTCGACTCCTGCAGGCTTAACCAAAAGCAAGGCATCATAGTTCAGGTGACTCTGCAGTTAAATTTCAAGGTCTTGTTGCTAACAACCAAAACATTGTGGTTTGATTTTTATCCATCACCTGTTGATCTTATCTTCATGTTCTTCTTTGTTAGAGGACTATGTTTAGTTTTGTTAAACAGAATATTGTCTTCAGACATTCTGGTCGTGACTCGTAACTTTTCTCATTTTCATTATGACTGGATTCATCTTTTAGGTGTGTCTAGCTTTGTGTCAGGGCTTAGTCCAGTCTGTCCAGTCCAATGAAATCCACCTCACCTTATTTTTTTATTTAATTTTTTTTGTATTTGACAACAATGACTAATTGTTGCAGCCTTAGTATATATGATTAAAGGCTTTATTAACGTATGTGACTGAAGTTTGAATGAATGAGTCATCACATTAATAAGAAACAAATTGTACAAACGTACCTCTGTCTGATGTGTGTTAACCAAGTATTTATGTTTCCAGGATAAGGAACAAAAAGATCTGATCCTAAATCTGTTGCTCAGTCTTCACAACCACCTGGCTGTTGTTGCTGGTAGATATCCACTTTCTCCTCTATCTTCACAAAATCTGCTTTGTCTTTGTATCGAGGGACATGATTGTTAATATCACGTCTCACAGTTGGAGAACATTGTTACCATACAGTGTTATAAATAAGTAGAAAGTGTGTTTTGAACCTTATTCCATCCATCTTCCACTTATCTGGGGTCGGGTTGCGGGGTAGCAGCCTAAGCAGAGAGACCCAGACTTCCCTCTCCCCAGGCACTTGGACCAGCTCATCCGGGGGAATCCCAAGGCGTTCCCAGGCCAGCTGAGAAACATAGTCCCTCCAGCGTGTCCTGGGTCTTCCTCTGGGTCTCCTCCCCGTGGGACGTGCCTGGAACACCTCACCAGGGAGGCGTCCAGGAGGCATCCTAACCAGATGCCTGAGCCACCTCAACTGGCTCCTCTCGACGTGGAGGAGCAGTGACTCTGAGTTCCTCCTGGATGATTGAGCTCCTCACCCTATCTCTAATGGAGAGCCCAGCCACCCTGCAGAGGAAACTCATTTTAGCCACTTGTATCCGCAATCTCGTTCTTTCAGTCACTACCCAAAGCTCGTGACCATAGCTGAGGGTAGAATTTCATCTGTAAATTGAGAGCTTCGCCTTCTGGCTCAGTTCTGCTTCACCACGACAGATCGGTACAGCGCCCGCAACACTGCAGACGCAGCACCAATCCATAAAGGTCATGAACAGAATCAGAGACAAAGGGCAACCTTGAGTCCAACGCTCACTGGAAACGAGCTTGACTTATTTCTGGCAATGCGGACCAAACTCTGACACTGGTTGTACGGGGACCTAACAGCCCGTATCAAAGGGCCTGGTACCCCATAGTCCCGGAGTACCCCCGCAGGACTCCCTGAGGGACACGGTCAAACACCTTCTCCAAGTCCACAAAACACATGTAGACTGGTTCAGGGTTTGACAAATACCACTGCTCAAGGCACATAAAACGCAAATTTYGGCAGGTGGATGTGTCCCGGTCCCTGCCCGACCAGGCATATAATAAAGTTCTTTATTTTTTTTAAAAATGGCCAGTTAATCGAATTCTGAAAATAAATGAAGAAATAGCATTTTAAAACACATAGATGGGATAAATCATCATTTCTCCTACCTCTGTATGACATGTATAGCAGGACTGTACAGTGTGACGTGCAGTGAAAAAAAAAACAGTTTTAAATCAAACAGTATGCAGCACTCTCGTGTGACTTATCACTATTTTACATAGTGGTTGCATGGTCTATTGTGATAAACAAGTGTTAGTTTAAAATAAAAGGTCCACAACATCCAGAGTCTTAAGGAATTCTGGATGATAGTCATCCACCCCGGGGTTTTGCCACCGAGGAGRTTTTCAACCACCTTGGTGACCWCAGCACCAGAGATTGGAGAGCCCAGCGTGCCCCACCTCCAGGCCTGGCTCCAGACTGGGGTCCTGGTGACCCCCATCCAGGCGAGGGAACYCTGAATCTATTTTATTTGCTCATCATACTGGGTCTTTGGGCTGCATTTGGTCTGATTCCTCACCTGATTACCTTGAATGACCCTACCAGGGGCATGAAGTCCCTGACCACATAGCTCCTAGAATCACTGGGACACTCAGAACCCTCCACCACAATAAGGCCCTATCACCTGCTTTAGTTTATAAATTCTCCTGCAAAGACAGTTATAGGTGTGTGGTTTATATTGTATGCTCCTCTGTGCCTCGAATATAAATATCCTGTTATATCAGGATATTAATGCATAGTTGTGATATAATTAATTACAAGCCTAGTATTGAATTGTTCTGTTTATCACATTATTACACTGTTATTACATTAATAATGCATTATCATTACCTTATCACATCAACGTTACATTAAGGCATTACTACCATCACCATTATTACATTGTTTCAAATTATCATTATGGTCTCATTGTTACATTATCATTACAGTATGTTGCAACAATGTTGTTATGTTGTCAATGAAATGCTATGATTACAGGTCATCATGACTGTGGAGATCTACAGTATCCAAGGAGAAATCTGTCCTTTGATGAGGCCTCAGCGTTTTTACTGGTAACATCAAATATTAAATATGTTCAAGAACTTTCTGTATCTGTCAGGTCATGGTCCGGTCATGGTGTTGGTCCGGTCCGTCTCTGACCTTCTGTCTGGTGTTGGTCCGGTCCGTCTCTGACCTTCTGTCTGGTGTTGGTCCGGTCCGTCTCTGACGTTCTGTCTGGTGTTGGTCCGGTCCCTCTCTAACCTTCTGTCTGGTGATGGTCCGGTCCGTCTGGTGTTGGTCCGGTCCGTCTCTGACCTTCTGTCTGGTGTTGGTCCGGTCTCTCCAGTTAAGACCGCCTCCTCTGAACCTTCCACTCTGTTGTTGTTCTGAGAACAACTTTTTTACTTTTCTGGAATATAAAATATAAAAAAAAGTTGTTTTTCAATAAATGAAAACTTAAATGAACAAAACGTTTCTGATTAGTACTTTCTGTGTTTCTGTTTTTAAGGCTCAAAATCGGGAGTTTGAACATTTTCTCCACAGTTCGTTGGAGTGGGTCATTCGTGCCGGCCAGGATGTTGGGATAAGGTCAGCGATGAGTCTGAGGTGGACGCACACGTTGGGAGGGAACAACATAAACTATGTTGTTGTGTTGTTGTACTTGCAGGCTGAGCGGACACACAGCTGACAGTCCCGTCACTGACGTGTCTGAGATCGTTTGGTTGGAGTCCACTCACCCCATGATGCCCTTTGTGTGCCGCCTTCGCCGAGCCCTGCTCACAGTGACCAGTAAAGTCCTCCTCGCCGCCGTGTGTGAGTAGACCTGTTCAGACCCAGCTGCGCCACCTGCTGGTCARTCAGTGACAGAGTGCAAGTCAACACAATCAGAAGGTTAACACTGTTGTGTGTCTGTGTGTAGTTCTAGGCTTCGCGTGGAGCGTGGTGTGCTACATGAAGTACCGCTGGAGGAGAGAGGAGGAGGAGACYAGGCAGATGTACGACATGGTGGAGAGGATCATTGGTGAGGAAGATTCCACAGTTTCTGCTGAGTCAGCACAGTGCTTCCATGAACAGGCGTTAAAATGTGTCTTTGTTTATTGTTCAGATGTTTTAAGGAATCATGGAGAGGCGTGCCAGGAAAACCAGGAGCTGCAGCCCTACCTGCCCATCCCTCATGTCAGAGACTCTCTGGTTCTCCCTCAGGACCGGTGAGAGCCTGCACTTCTTTCATTACGTTTTTCACGTCAGAACTCGAGTGTAAGTTCTCTACAAGTTCCATTTTTGCTCACAGGAAGAAAATGACGAAGGTTTGGACTCGTGCCGTCAGGTTCCTGTCAGCCAACGAGTCCAGGATTCGAACGGAGACTCAGAGGATCAGTGGAGCAGACTTCCTGGTCTGGAGGTGGCTCCAGCCTTCTCTCAGCTGTGACAAGTCCAAAGTCTGGCAGGGGAAAGGTAAGTCACCTGTGGAGCTTTAACAAGAACCTGTGCACACATGATGGTCGGTTAGAGGAAACCAGTGGGCGGGGCTTGTGTTGGTCGCTGAGATGCAGAAGATTAAAAATTAAAACATTATTTAATGTTTTGAACATATTGTTTATATTTAAAGAAGTGTTTGACTCACCTGGACCTGGACCTGTTGGTCTTTAACTTCCTACCCAGATGACATGTAGTCCATAGAGCAGTTAGTAAAATACCTTCATGTTCATTAGAGCTGAAAGTGTCCATCACTCTTCTGATGAGACAAATAGAAACTAACTGTTGATCCTGTGTTGTTCAGCGTTCCCTCTGGACCGCAGGAACTCTCCTCCCAACAGTCTGACTCCATGTCTGAAGATCAGGAACATGTTCGACCCGGTCATGTGAGTACCTGGCTCCTGAATCCACAGCTGCTTGAAGCTTCGGTTCAACATGGCTGACTGTAAGCTCAGTCCACGTGTTGGTGTAAGGTTTAGTTGTCCTGAAGAGGTGTTGGAGTCTGTGGCATGAGACGGCTGCTTCAGACCATTGATCTACAGCGGGTAAAATAAGTATTGAACACGTCACCATTTTTCTCAGTAAATATATTACTAGAGGTGCTAATGACATGAAATT